ATTGTTAATATTTTCACCGAAGGAGATTTTTCTACTTTAGTGTGTGTCTTCTACAGTTTCTTAGATGAGTATTGATTTTTTTCAGATGTCCCTCACATCCTCAGTAAATTTATTTCTTTTTAATTTTGTCTGTGGCTATTGTGAACGGGATTTTTTAATTTCTTTCTCAGCATAGTCATTATGGGTGTGTAAAGATGCTATTGACTTAAAAGCTGCCTTCAGTATCCTGCAACTTTCTTTAATTACTCTATCAGTTCCCTTTCATACATAATTTGTTCAGTTTCTTTAATCATAAAAGAGCACTGAATTTTATTTTTTCTACATCTATTGAGATGTTCATATGATTTTTATCTCCTGCTCTGTTAATGAGGTGTATCATATGTTGATGTAAAAACCACAGCTTAAAGGGAATAAGAAACAGATGTACTGAGTCATTTGGAGTGATCATGGCCTGGGAACCCAGATTTAGGTTACCCCAAATTCTATGTGCCTGTGTGGGAGCAGTACCACGGGTTTTTATGGTTGTCTAGAGCAAAATGTCACAAATCAAGGCAACTTTAAAATGCATTAGTGGGTACAGCAGAGGGGCAGGGACAAGGAGACAGAGGAGCTACTCTATAAACCCAGCATACTACTTGATGACGTTGTTAGCTCTTGAATCTTCAGAGTTAATGTTCTGCTAAGTTAATAGCTTCTAAGAGGTTTTAAATCTTATTATCATGAGGGGTGGGACAAGGAATGACTGTCCCAGAAGGCTAAAGATAGACAAACATGAAGCAATTAGTCTTTGAACCTACAAAATTTCATTTTCCTCACAATACTAGAATTACAATCAGGGCTGGAGAGATGGCTCAGCGGTTAAGAGCACTGACTGCTCTTCCAGAGGTCCTGAGTTCAATTCCCAGCAACCACATGGTGGCTCACAACCGTCTGTAATGGGATCTGATGCCCTCTTCTGGTTCGTCTGAAGACAGCTACAGTGTACTCATTTGCATAAAATAAATAATAAGAGAGAGAGAGAGAGAGAGAGAGAGAGAGAGAGAGAGAGAGAGAGAATTATTTCATTTGCAGACATACACCCTCCTTCCGGGAGTCTTTTAATTACAATGAGACACAGTTTCTCTTTTAGGAATTTTTGTTCACAATACACAATACTTGTTGAATTGTATATGTATGTGTTCTAGTTTCCTTTTCTGCAGCAGCAGCGTCTTCTGTTAAAGAGGCTGTGATTGTTAAAATTAGCCCCACTAAAGAGAAGCCACCTGCCACACATTGGAAAAGGCAGTAAACAAGCAGCAAGACCCCATCCAGTTAAAAATCCCCATTTATTTCCAGCAAAGAGTCTAAAAGGTTTTCTACCCCTGGAATATAAACCCTTCTATACAGATGTGATCCAAGGGGGTGAAAATCCATGCCAAGCTGGCACTCAAACTTGGCAGTGCCATCCACATGATACTGGTTTGGGAAGCATGGACGTCGAAAGATTGGCAGGGGATGGGCGTGAGGGGTGGGATACTAGGGGTGGGGGTGAAGAATGGGGTATTAGAGGTCGGAGTAAGGGTGGGGAATTAGGGGTGGATTCTTCCTCCATGGTTTCAGAGAGCCTCTAAGGCCAGGGAATGTATCCCTACAAGTAGGCCTGAGAGCCCTCTGTGTCCCCACTGTGTGAAAGTGTAAAGGTAAAGCCTGGATTGCCATGGAGACCCCAAGATGTGAGAGATGCCAGAACTGTAAAACATCTGCCAAGGAGAACTACAATGCAAGTTGAACCAGTCCAAAAGGGAAAAGAAGTATGGTGCATATGGTAGAAATATTATTATTTGCTTTTTAAATTTTGAAGTTAGTGTTGTCTTTGTCTTTGTCTTTGTTTGTTTGTTCTTTATTTCAATCAGAGGTAGTTAGTGAAAAAAACAAACAAACAAACAAACAAACAAAAAATCCTCACATTTCCTGAACTTGAATTTTCCCCTTTGAACCAGCTAGCCAGTAGTGTTAGCTTGTGAAGCCCAGCACTCATCCATGGGATAAGATGTAGTCACTACCTACGTCAAAGATAAAAGACAGAAGTCATCTTGGCTAAATGTATGGTAACCATTGACACTATTCACTGTTTCAGGCATCCACTGGAAATGTTAGAATATACCTGACTCAGTTAAGAGGGAGGACTGTACTGAGCAACTCTGTGCCAAAAACTGTGCAACAATGTGAAACAGTTTAGTACTCAGGGAAAACAGACATGTCATTCTAAGGATCTTAGACCTGACCAGCAGGTGATGTAGAGCCAGAGGCAACAAATATATTTATTTGATTTTTCTGCACTAGGGGGGGAAAAGGTTGTATTTTTTATTCACATATTTTAAAAAACATGATACCTTGGGTATTTTTCTGGATGATGGATTATTTGATGGAGCTCACTATAAAAGACAGGGTTTTTTTTTCTGTTTTGGTTTGGTTTGGTTTGGTGTTTTTTTTGGGGGGGGGGTTGTAAGGGAGATAGCCTAGATTTCATTTCTATTTTCTATCTTCTCAGTTGTTTCTTGGCATAAGCTTGCAGGACAGTAAGAGTGCTGCCTCTAATGCCAACTCCAACATTCTGAATCATTTCTGCTGAGCAGTAGGTTTTCAGCAACCCACTTCATAAACTGTAATTAGTTTTCTATAAAAGGACAAATTATTCCCTTTCTAAGTCCCAGTATTATAATTTTGCTATACATTAGTATCTATACATTTCTGTCTGCAATGAGCCTAAGGGAATCCACATCTTTTCATCCTAGAAAGCCTTCTACTGAAAATAGAAGGTTATTTTTATTAAAAAAAAAGAAGAAGAAAATAAGAAAATATCTGAAATGAGCTCACTGGGTATCAGGAAGGAATACAAGATGTCATGAGACAGAAGACACAGTGTATAAAGGAGTTAACAAACTCTAAGCATTATCTAAATAAGCAATAATAAAATGTAAGTGCAGGTCTGGATTTTGAATAATAGATTTATCAGATAGTTGAGACACAAATCAAATGACCATTAGTTATTCTTATGTTAGGGGTTCAAGAAATCAAGTAAGGAGCTGGATATGGTGGCACAAGCATTTAATCCCAGCACTTGGGTGGCAGAGGTAGGTGGATCTCTGAGTTCCAGGCCAGCCTGGTTCCAGGAGTTCCAGGGAAGTCTCAGCTAGATAGAGGAACCCTGTTTCTATAAAAACAAAAACAATAGAACAACAAGAGATCAAGTAAGACTTGGAATTTGGGGCTGGAGAAAGAACTTGGTGGTTAAGAATGCAACTGTTCTTGCAGAGGGCCAGAGTTGGATTTCAGGCACCAATGCCGGGCAGCTCACACCCCATGCTTCTGGCTTCCTTGGGCAATTGTGCATGAGCAGAAGTATGAGCGCATACGAACACACACACACACACACACACACACACACACACACACACACACACACAAATTAAAAATAAAATTTGTGAAATGAAAAGCCCGGATTTCACAATCAGTCATGACAAAGAAAACAATAAGCAGCACCCTAATCATTCCCAAATGTGTAGTAAAAAGTTTTTTATTGAGTTAAAAAAAATCTCATTTCATTACTTGGTACAGAACAAGGACTCTTAGATTCCACATTACACCTGCCCATTGACAAGAGACTCAGACACAAAATGTGCTAACATTGCAACGAATCATGAACTTCTATTACAGATATGAGTGATTTGAATGAGAGGGTGCTTGATTTGAGTTTGAATCTTGGGAAGATTGTATTGTCAAGCCTTAGTTTACTTACAAAGAAACAGACAAGCTTTCTCAAGATCCTGTTAAGCAGGATAATACCAAAAGTCTTTGGATATAAGTGAGTAAGAGGTTCCTTAGACAGGTAAAAGGAGTTCTTTCAATTTTACTGTCCTTATCCAAGTGCCCCTTAATTCCTTATTTCTTCCTTCATTCAGTCAGCTCTCAAACTATAGAATACCTATTAACTTCATACTTCTACTTCCTGTGTGCTAAACGCACTCAACTATCACGAAAAAAAAAAAGAGTCTTAAATCGTTTGTTTGTTTGTTTGTTTGCTTGCTTGCTTGCTTGCTTTTTAAGACTGGATTTCTCAGTGTAGCCCTTGCTGTCCTGGAACTCACTTTGTAGACCAGGCTAGCCTCAAATTCAGGGTTTTATCTGCCTCTACCTCCCTAGTGCTTTGGGATTAAAGGCCTGAGCCACCGCCGCCACACAAGTTTGAATTCTTTTGTCCTTTATCTCTTAAGCTTGTTTTAAAAATTTAATAGAACTCTATATTATAAAAGTATAACTTTTTCGCTAAAATAAAGCTATCTAATAATACCCGACAAGTATCGATTTAGTTTTATATCCTAATTTGAAAGGGTGTGGTTACATGGAATAAGTTAGTTTATCTTTCTATTGGATTTATATTGAAACAATGTTAAGGTCAAGTGTCCAGTTATCGTACTGAAAAACTGTTGCATGTCAGAACTTTGACATAAACTATTTTGCTGGTGTAGTCATCAATGTCGTTCTATGGTAGAAAAAAGAGGCATTATGTAGCCCTTGCGTTCTTTTTAAATTTGTCGTATCAAACAATCTTATAGAAATGAAAATGTTCTATCCAGTAACGATTATCCTGGGTGAAGTTTCCCGTAATTATAAAATTGTGAACACTACTCCACCACTGACCTCAATCTTGTTCCAGAACAACTCTACCACCGCCATGTTAAAATTTTAAATTTTAATAGCGGGACCAAAATTCTAACACTTAACAGTAAGGCTCTGTCAACATTCACAGGGAGCGTCTAAAAGCCAAGTAGTTTTCTAAGTCAAGGCTGACCACTGAAAACATCACTAGACAGTAAGTCCTGTTTAGCACTCAAATGGTCGAGCACAGATATTCTTGTTCTTGATTGGTCTTCGTCCGTGTCTGTCACACACAGAGGGTGGGGTCTAGCCTCAAGCTCTGAATGAGACGCTGTACTTTTACGTCATCTCAGTGCGACGAGATCCGCGAGGGAGGGGTGGGGTGAGCACTCTTCGCGGTGGTTGGGGGGCTGCTTTGAAGGTGTCATGGCTGCTGCTGCGGAGCATAATTCCTCAAGCAGCAGCGTCAGAAACCTAGAGCGAAGCTCCAGCCCCCTCCTCACCCGAGAGGTCCTCTGCGAAGTCTTTCGTTCCTTGCACACCCTGACAGGACAGGTAAGTGGAGGTGCGGCGGGGCGCTGGGGGAGCGGGTAGGGAGAGCACCCCGGTTCTGTCCCCTTAGTTCTCTCGGAGGCGGGGGTCGCGGAGCCCGCTGGCACGGTGTGTGCCGCTGGTGTGCCGAGACCGAGCTGCCGAGACCCGGAGGAGCCCGGGCCCAGCTGCCTGGGACCGGGAGATGCCAGCGGCTCACTCGATGGCCAAGCGTGAGTTCCAAGATCTAGAGAAAACCCGAGTCCTGGTGCCGAACGCTTGCAGAAAATTGATGCTTCAAAGATGATGAGGGTTAAGGAGGCTCCTGGACTCTTACGGTCCTTTTGCCTCTAGTGTGTTTATTGTAGAAATTCACTGACTAATATGGCCTCAAACTTTTCCTAGCGCCATCTCCACTCTTTAGAAGTGATTTACTCTGTTTTGTTTTTGTTTTTTTTCTCCTACCATTGATTGCATCATCTCTTGCATCTCTTACTGTTTTAAACGGGGAGTGATGTATAAGGATTTCCACAATTTCATTCGTAGTATGCCTAAATTTTAATGTAAATTGTTGGTTGAGTTACGTGTGGCCACTTCTAACCACATCACGACTGTGGTGTAACTTAGCTAACTGCTCTTTACAGAAATGAACCTGGATTTTAAAAACTAGGTTGCACTTTACTAGATAGTCATTCATGATGTAAATGAGACAATTTTAAAATAAGGAACAGAAGTATGTTTGCCTGCTTTTAGAAGAGTTTTGTGTCAAACATGTTTACTAGTTTGTCTGGAGGCTGGTATAGTGCGTGAAATGGAGACAACACACATTTATGTCAAGGGCAGCGGGACCTGTGAGAATAGGGCATTTACCTGATTTGTGAGAATTATTTAAAATCCTTAGTTGGAAAACCTTAGTAAATTTATTTTGAGTAGCAAACTACTTGAGTTGAACATTCTGTTTGGTGTTATGAGGCAATTATTACTGGACTTCTAAAAGTTAAAATTTTTAAACTCAATTACTTGATAACCAATTATGAAAAACTTCATTACAAAGTCTTAAGCACTTTCCTTATTAATATTTCAGTAGTAACATCCCAGATCTTTAAATAGTTTAAAAGTTAGAGAACTTTTTCATGTGGATTTGAAACTTAAAGATTTGTTCATTTATGTTCTAATGTCAAGGTGAGAAAACTATTCTCCAATATTATGCTTAGAATTTGCAAAATAGTTTACATTGATAAATTATTTGAATATCTAAATTTTGCATAGTGAATTTTTCAAAATTAAATAAATTTATTCCAAAGGTTCAAATGGAAAAATCTAAACTTAAGGCCACCTGCCAAAAACGTTTAGAGAAAATAAAGTTTTATAACAGTAAAGGGGTCTTTATATAAGTGTCAAATATAAGATTTTTAAAAATCAAATGTTATTTTAGTAATATCATGTATTTTGAGATGCATGATTAAAGATGAAAGCCATCCACACTTATAAAGTTGATCCTGTGGAGTGTGTCCTTTTGCAACAAATTAAAAGGATTTTTAAGATGTTTAATATGTCTAAGTTCATATTAAGTATCATTGAATTATTAACACTTTTCGATAGAAAGTGTAAAACTGAATTGTTAAAAAGTATTTTTCTTCCAAATGCAAATTATACTAATACTAATGTTTTTCTTCTCTTCTCATTGGCCCAAATTACAAATCTAAAGACTGTTAGCTTGTTTTTTTTTTTTAAGTAATGTGTTTCTACTGAACATACATAATTCAATAGTCAATGTTTATAGTATATTAATAGAAAATTTTGGATGCCTGGCTACTGTCCCAAGAATTATGGGTAATAATTCATAGAGTCCCAATGTTACTGGGGAATTTGTTGAATGGATAATTGGGTTATTTGGAGCTCATTTTTAAGTTAATTTGTCACCCTATTGTTTGGTTTCCATAAAAGACCAAGTGTCTTGAGTTGCCTTTGAAAGCTTCCATAATTCTTCCAAATTGACATGAGAATACGATCCAAATCTTAAGATTTCTTTCCTATAATTATTTTCTCTAGAAAAGGTGATACTTTACTTTGGTGTGAGTTTTGCCTGCTTATTCCCCAAACATAGATTTGCCATAGTCAACTATAGATCTCTTGGAGGACTATAAACATGTGCTGATAGGTTACTTTCATACACAGTAATGAATGCAGTTATCTTATTAATTAAACTTACTGTCAAATTCTAACTTAGTATAAGTTTATCTTTGTCAGTATAGCCTATGTAAAATTTCATATTTCTTTATATTTACCGAATGTGGACTCAGATGCCTCTGGACTCTGGAGCCATTATTTATACAATAAAGTGCTTAACATAGGAACCTGAGATCTCTTTGGTTCCATGGACAGCAAATTCATGTCTTGGTTTTTTATTCTTACAGCTTATTAAATTTGTATTTGAGCTCATGAAACATGTATCTTTACTTTGTAGAAAATATGACTTAATTCTTAATTATTCTTGCAAAATAAGTATAATTGACTTGCTTCCACTTAGATCGTGTCTTGAAAAGTTTATAGTGATTCCCCCATATTCAGTCAAATGATTACAGGTGGATGCTTCTCCCTCTAAGGTTTTGACTGGTTTTGATATTAATTTCATATTCAGGTTCTTGGTAGTTTTCTGAATATACTTTTGGTGTATTAATTCACTAGCTCATGAGAAATTTTCATGTTTGAGACACATCTTTCTAGAAAATCCTTAGGAAGCACACTGGACATTCACTTTTTGCTTTGATACACTGCTGTGAGAAAGTACTTGTTTTTTATGTTAAACTTGTTGTACTTCATAACTGATAGTTTGATTTTTATTTGAAGTAATTACTGTCATCTGCTCCTATTTGTGAATAATCTTTAGTTTTAAATACTTTTTTAATTGGTTAAATTTGAAAATAATAAAAATGATTGAGAAGATATCAGGGTAATGATATATTTTAGGCATGTGTTTGTGTGACAAAGAGAATACACTTTCTGGACTGCCATAGTTGAACTTCGTCTGTTGAATGCCTAGTTGGGATTTAGTAGGATTCTGACAAGGGCAGATCTATTTTTGGATACCCTCCAGTGGTATTTAAGATATCAAAGTATCAAAAGAGGTTTACCTTTCTTGGATAGCTTTTCAAAAATGGCCCCATTATACAGACATAGAAACAGAATTAAAATAATAGATTTTTTTTTCAAAGCTGTGCCTTTTGGCTTTTTAAAATGGCAACTAAGTAAAGCATTTTATTATGTCATTGAAACTTAGTAACTTTGAGCAAAATAGGCATGCATTACTCCATAGAAATCTTATTTTTGTCATAATCCCAGATATTCAGCTTAATCGTGTAATTTTTGTGATGTTGCTGGTTTGCCTCTTTGAAGCTTAACCTCAGAGATGATGTGGTGAAAATTACAATCGATTGGAACCAGCTGCAGAGCCTCTCAGCATCCCAGCCTGCACTGCTCCTCACTGCACTTGAACAACATATTCTGTATTTACAGGTAAATTTCTGATTAGAAATGTTTACTGGATATTGAAAATAGAAATTAGCCATAGTTAAATTAACTGAAGTATTTTTAAATTCTACCTCAACATTCTGTTAGCAGTATTATTAATAAAAGGTTACTGAAATCCATATTGAATCTGGGTCTGTTAATTTCACTAGTGATCAGGATAGTTATGAGAATATAGCCCAATAGGCCGATGTGGATATGAGATTGAATAAATGCAGTCCTATTCAATTCTAGGCTTTGCTGAAAATTCAATACAGTTCATCTGTGGTGGGTTATAATTAAGCAATAAGACACGGCAGGTGTGAGTCATGCTATGATAATGATTCCATGCCTTGGGTGAGTTTGGAGGCTCATGGAGTGCTTTCAGTGGTTCAAGAAGTGGCATTATCCCAGCATGACACATCCTGGAGTGTCTATTGCAATTAAACAGTTTCAGCATAGTTTTTAAAAAGAAAGTAATTTCTGTGACATTAATGTTTCATCTTAGTGAGTAGCCAGTCACTATTTCATCTTAATAATTTGAAATAATTTATCCTTTATTAGAAGTCAATATTGAATTATTTATAATGGCATTGTTACGTTTTTAATATTTCAGTTTAAGAAATGAACAGTATTATAACCTTGCTGTTGTTGTCAGAAGTCTCTGCGAGTGTAATTGATGTGAGTTGGAGGTCTTCTCTCATCAGGATACGCAGAACTGCTTTTCCTGGTCACTTTATCGTATTGAAGATGTTAGAAGATTTCAGAAGAGTACTTGGCATAGCAAACAATGGAAACAAAATTGTATGAAAAGACAGATGATCGGAATATTGTTTAGAAATAATGTGTTAAGTTTCAGCCCTGAATTCATTGACTTTCTGGGAGTGTTTAGCTGTGTTTCATGATAAAAATAACAGTTAACACTTTGTTTAAAGGGCACGTGATGAGCTATAGGACTCAAATGTGGACCTTGGGCTGGGGATGACGAGGAAGAGTAGAAGGAAGTGAATTTCCATTATGAAGACATATTTTTCTTAAACCTACTGTAGCTGGAGTGATCTGTTTCTAGCTCGAGGTCTTTGTAGCATGTTTGTTTGCCTTCTCTCTTTCCTTCCTTCCTTCCTTCCTTCCTTCCTTCCTTCCTTCCTTCCTTCTCCCGTGTGCATTTTCTTTTGTGAAATTGCATTTCATGACCCAATAAGATACCTTGCTATGTCAGGGAAAGGCTGAATGTTCACTCAGGGTGACACCTATACACTTCATATCCATGCTTTCTCATCTATTTTGGCCAACTGTACTTTGAAGTGGAGAATCTCAGCAATACAGTGATAATGCAGGGCTTTCCTGAGTGAGCACTGCTCTCCTGCTAAGGAGGGAGAACACTCAGCCTAGTGTTCTGAATGACATGTTAATTAAGAGGCATCCAGGCCAGAGACTGAGGCTTTGATTTAGCACAAAATAAAAGATGAATGACAGAATGATTTCCTCAAAGAAAAATTTAAATGTCGTCAGGTTTTCTTTCTTTTCTTCTTTTTTTAAAAACAAATGTACAGCAAATGATAAAGGCTACACAGTAGTAGAAAATAGCAAACCTGTGTGTGGTCAGACCCGTGTGTCCTTATGTGCCCGCTCTTTGTATTTAATAACAGAATATTCACTTAGGTAGCAGCAGCTTATATAAATCTATCACTAGTTGAGATGAGTTTGAACCTGAGCAGATGTCACTGTGTTCTTTTCAGCCTTTTTTAGCAAAACTTCAGTCTTTAATTAAAGAGAATTCAACAGCTGCAGAGATAAGACAGACAGAAGCAGAGACCAAGTCTGAACTAAGAGCCGGACATCCCACTGGAGACCTAGAAAATGAAGGAAAGCTCCAAGACTGTGATTTAGGAGATGTGAAAAAGACACAAATCCATTTTGATCCAGAAGTAGTTCAAATAAAGGCTGGAAAGGCAGAAGTAAGTTTGGGCTGGTACAAGGATGAGGGTAACATTATTTTTTAAAAGTTCTGTTGTGTTTAGATTGTTAAATTATTTGTTGTTTGTAGATTGACAGACGAATATCTGCATTTATTGAGAGAAAGCAAGCTGAAATCAATGAAAACAACGTCAGGGAATTTTGCAATGTTATTGATTGTAATCAAGGTAACTAGAAGTTTTTTTAAAATAGAATTTTAAACATTTTGACAACTGCTATAATATTTTGTTTTAAAAACAAACAACATTAAGAACAAGATTCTATTTTACAGGTTTTTAGTTGGTAATTAAGGCAGTAGAGGTTTCCTTTATTTAGTAATCAGCTCTGTTGCCAAGCTGATTTTCATTTGGTTACACAAAGAAATCAGGGCCGAACTCTGGAGACAAATGTTTACTACAAGTCCAGGAAGGTCAGAGCTTCTTCAGACAGGTAAGGTGAGGTGTCAGATGGCAGAGGTGTTTAGGTTCACTGTAGGAGAGAACCAGGCACTGTGGGCTTCAGCTCTGTAAATGGACCTGTGAAATCGTGTTAACTCAGTGAACCTAGTAACACTGATAGCATTCCTCAAGAGGGAGCAGTTTTCTCTTTACTCCTGAGTTTCATGGTGGATACACCCAGCTCACCATGAAGACCTGTGGAGCCCTAGGCCTTTCCCTTTGTCACATTGCATACCTTTGCTGTTTCTCCTCTTCACTTGATGCTACAGTCTGTTTCCAGGGCTGCAGGGTACTTGCAGACCACCATATACCATGTAGATTGCCACTGGTTGTAATTCTCTATCCTTGTAATAACCAGTGTAAGTGGTTCTTAGAAAAAAATTATGAAGGTTTGTAGTTGGACTGAAAGTTTTTTCTTGTCACTGTTAATATCTCTTAGTTAATGATTATAAACATGAAATTGTCCATTGAACCTGGAAGTAACTCATAATTACATTGATATGGGACACTCTTAACATAATAATCAGGGCTCACTGTGGATTCTAAATCAAACTCTTCTACTGTTAACTTGTGTGGATCTCTAGATTTAGCTCTTTGGAGCAGGTGTAACAGTGGCAAATCTCAGGTGTGGCTGGCAATCCAGTTGTAGGCTCCTCAAGAGAAAGGGTTTGTTGAGGGAGCAAGGCCGTGTGTCACTAATGTTATTCCTCTGTTCCTCCTGCTAACTCTCTTCCTATAAACCACCAGGGGATAGAAGTTGATAAGAATTGAAATGCTCAGCAGGATTCCCTGGCCCACTCAGTCCCTTGCTGGCTCACAACAGTGCTAGCCAGAATTGCTGTGGAGTGACGAGCGCTCGTGCATTCCTCATCCAACACCACGCTGCAGTGCTCTCTGATGGGCCTGTGCATTTGGAATATAGCCTGGAAGGGATGATAGCTTTTTTTTTTTAATCCTTAGACCAATGAAAGAATAGAAAGAATAAAGAAGTGTAGACCACTTACATATATTTTGAGGTGTTTCCAAAGAAAAGAAAACGAGTGTTTAATCTTTAAAAGATTAAGTAGGTTTGCAATTTTATTTATAGTTCAACTTATCACTGTTCTGTTAAACTTAAGCTTAAAAAATACATTTTAATGTGTTGGTGTATTTTTTAAAGCCCTTTCATTTGGTCTAAGAAAAAATTGATTTTAAAAAATCATATTTTGTGGAATAAAAACGAACTTTAACTCATTTTACATTTACATATTATATAATGTGTTCATATATAACAATTGTGCTAATATTTAATAGTATATATTATAGTAGCATATTTCTAATTTCTTTTTTATAAATTACTTGTTGAGACATAATTTGGAAGAAATAGTAGTTTTCACTTGATACAAATATTAGAAACATTTTTACAACATATTTTTTCCCAAAATCACAGTTTTTAAAAGTAGGATGAAAAGGAGTCGATGCCTTTTTAATTAGGAATTTTAAAGTTTGTGTTGTACTTGAGGTTTCAGGGTCTTTTTTTTTAATGTTGAGTTCCAAGATAAAAAAGTACAAAACATACAGTTAATCCCTGTGCTAGATGTTCACTAATTTGGTAATAGCAAGTATGCCAAAAAACTATTTAAAATAATTTGGTAAATTGGGTTCTGTTTATGTGATAAAGAGTATAGTGCTATAAAATACATATATTATAATACATATATATATAGCACCATACTCAGTAATCTGTGTGGTTCTTAGTAATAACTAATTTCATAAAGATTATCAGAAGTTATACCACTTAATGGTGATAGTTTTCTATATGTAAATCTGAGCATTAGATAAAAATATTACATGTGATTCAATTCAGAGGATAAAGATCACCCAAACTATTTCTGTATGTCACAGTAATGTAATCATTATTACTTTTATTTGAAATTCTCTTATGAATAAAATGTGAATTATTAGAAGTATATCATAATCTTGTACCTTTGTAATTAAGAATATATTTAAACTCAATGTATCCAAATTCTCCCTAGAAAATAGTTGTGCAAGAACTGATGCTGTCTTTACTCCTTATCCTGGATTTAAAAGTCATGTAAAGGGTAAGTGGCCACCGTTCAGTACGTCTATCACTGGGAGAAGTTTGCTATAGCCTCTTAACAGTATGGAATAGAAATGCCTTTCCCATCTAAACTTTATCCTAAACAAAAGCATTGCCTTTTCCTTTCTTTTCTTTTTTTTCTTTTTACTTCTTCCTTTTATTTTATTTTTTTTTAATTTTGAGCTTGTGCTTCATTGACCATTATGGAAAGAATATTAAAGTACTGTTAAGGAGAGAGAATTTCTGTTCTTGAAGCAAATTGACATAGGCTTGAACATTTCTTAACTTAGTTTCTAGAGTTGTGAATACATATGGACCACAGACTAGACCTGAAGGAATTGCGGGGTCAGGTCACAAACCTCCGGGCACACTTCGAGACTGTGGTAACCAGGCGGTGGAAGAACGCCTCCAGAATATTGAGGCTCACTTGCGATTGCAGACAGGTAAGTGAAGAGCTGGGTCAGGCTCTGTGATGAGTCTTTGCAAGTCATAAGTAAATTAGATTCATTTAGCTTCCAGATTTTCCTTGAACATCCATTGTAAAGCCATCATTCTAGGTGCATGAAGCAGCTATAGAATCTATAAGGTTCTTGGTCCTCATGCTTTATCCTTCTGCTTCTCTCCACATGGGAAACACATTCCAAACAGATTCTGTTAGCCTCAGTTTCCTGAAGTTACAACAGAAAATGAATGTAATATTTTAATATGGCCAATTTCAGAACTTGTCTGACAACCTCTAATTATTATTAGCCACCAACTATAAAATATTGATTATTGTGGTCTTGGTTCTCTATGTACTCCCAGGTAATAAACATGGGAAAATGAACCCATATTTATTGACTAGTAGTCAGTGTGAACATGTCATGCCTATGCCAGTGTGGTGCTTAGTAGTACTCTGTGGAGGCGTTGGGGCTGTCACAGAAGATAGTAAGACTGAAGTTCAGACTTTTGCCCAGGACATTATAGGAAGTGACGACTGGGGAGCAGACAAAAGTCTCATCCATTGAGACAGCATGGTCTTGAGTCTCCTCCTAATGCCCCTAGATGTGTGACTTCCCTCTCTCCATCTTCTGCTGCAGATGAAGTGTCTGTGACCTCTCTCTTCAGTTGTCGCTGAACTTCCTCCTAGAGGTCACTTTTCATCCTGTAGCCAAATCGCCGTTTTTCAGGCTTATGTCTGATACTGTTTCTATCTAGGTAAAACTTCCTCAATAGTTGTCTGTTGCCTTCAAACACATAGCAAACTCACTAGTGGTGCTCCAGACCAGGGAGGCTGCGTGTGAGGCTTGAGAGGCGGGAAGATTCTGAATGCAGTAGTGAACTTGGTGTGTGCATACCTTAATATACATTGCCCTCCTCCATGACACTGATGGGGACATAGCACAGCCATCAAGTGAAACTGTCATCTTCTCCCTGCAGGATTTCCCTACTGAGTAACTACTAACCCCCATTAGAAACTAGTCAGTACTTCACAAAAAAATGTGTAGCAACATGGGAAGCAGAGGCAACACTCAGAAAGCAGAAGTCTATAATTTGTCTCAAAGAATGCTGAATGAAACTGTGAGCTAAGGATGAAGCCATGAGCTAAAGATTTCAATTGACTTTGCTTTCATCTGCTTATTTTATTGTTTTAAGTGTTTTTTTGTTCTTATGTAAATGCATTCTCATGATACTTTAAAAATAAAAATGATAAGAAAGCAGAACTATTAAGATTTCAGCATTTTTTCCATATGCGTTTAGGTGGCCCAGTACCAAGAGACATCTATCAGAGAATTAAAAAGCTTGAAGATAAAATTCTTGAATTGGAGGGCATCTCTCCTGAATACTTCCAATCTGTTGTAAGTATTAATGTCTTCTAAAAACAAAGTGTTATTTTAAAGATTTTCATTACGTAATAGTGCACTCATTGATCCACATGTGAAACACTTTTAAAATTAAGAAATAGAGGAACTCAGTACTGTGGAGGTATCTGCCTCTTTAAGAATTCTGATTCTGAATATTTTACAGTGTAGGGACAATTGTCCTCACCTATGGAAGTTCTGTTGAGCCATCTTCATGTCAGCCTTTGGTGGTCCAGCCTGTGACTCCGTGGCTGCTGTCTTGTAAAATAGCACTTGGTTTTTTTCCTGCTGATCTGTCTCCAGACTGTTTGACCCAGCCCCTAAGTAGCTCCGTTTCTCACAGATGGACTGGCCATGCCTTGTACTCGCACCCAGTCTTCTTAGACTTTAGACTGACCTGTGTCTGTATAGTTCCTCCACTCTCTTCTTCATTCATTCACTTGTTTATTCATTTGTTCATTAATTCATTCATTCATCCTTAAACCCCTTTCTCAAGGACATTGAGAAACTGTTTTCCTAATAAGTACCTTCTTTGGCACATCAGTGTTTCAGAAAACCCTGAGATCACTCTGTTTCCCACCATCTTCTGATGAGGTACTTCTCTTCTTGTGTTGCTGTGTTTGTTTGTTTGAGTTTTGAGACAGATTCTCACTATATAACCCATAGCTTGAACTCTGAATTCTTCTGTGTCAGCTTCTTTTCAAAGTCTACTAACTAACCAGCAGCCGTGTCCTATTCATTTATTTACCTACTTACCTGATGTCTAGTCCGTTCTGTGTGTCCCAAGATGAAATGTGGAGAGGTTCAAAGAAACAGATGTGGAGTTAGGAGTGGTGGCACTCACCTTTAATCCCAGCACTCAGGAGACAGAGGCCGGTGGATCTCTGAGTTCGAGGTGAGCCTGGTCTACAAACTGAGTTCCAGGACAGCCGGGGCTACACAGAGAAACCCTGTCTCAACAGAGCTAAAAAAAAAAAAAAAAAAAAAAAGGAAAGCGAGACGTAGAAACGATAGGTCCTCTGTGTGAGCAAGCTCTGTGAGAACATAGTCTGTTTACCATGTGTATTTACTGTTTTCAAGTATAGTGATTCAGAATTAGTCTTTACGAATACTCATAAAGATTGTATCTTTTAAATATACTAGTACATTACAGTCTTAAACACTTTAAGTTGCTATCTTAAAACATTTCCATGTTCAATGGTCAGATTTTTAAAATAATTAAGAGATTCAACACATACTGGGCAGTGGTGGCACAAGCCTTTAATCCCAGTGCTTGGGAGACAGAAACAGGTGGATGTCTGAATTTGAGGACAGTCTGGTACATGGTGAATTCTAAGATAGCCAAGACTACACAGAAGAACCTTGTCTCCAAAAACAGAAGATGCAATACATATTGATGCTTTTCATAATTTTCTGGTTTTTATAATAGCTTATTAGGGAGTTTGGTTTTCAACAAATGGAAAGAATTTTGGTTCTCATTTTGTTCCATGAATCAAATATAAATTTTTTCCTGTTAATTTTTACCTTTTCATATGGTGTGGTCCAATGATATCCAGGATAGTCAACCTCTATCCAGTTTCTAGAAGCTTCTATAGGTTTAGAATTCATCTACATGTGAATCTGTATAAGAAAATTTCAAGTAAAGTCTTCATAGTTCAGAAATTTAGTTTCCAACAAAAGGTCAATCCTTAGGACATATGAGGGCTCAATGTTTACTTACGTCCTAACCAGAGAAGCTAGAGTATAGTCCACACAGTATTCACTGAAGGGTAAGGTGAGTTCACTCTGAAGGGTAAGTAGAAACTTCTCAGTTCCTCTCAGTGTGACGATAACCCTTGATCTGGCTCTACTCCAGGTGAGGTGTGAGGCTAGAGAAGACTCACTCTGTTATGGGATGTCAGCATAAACTCTTTCCCTTTGGCCTTGTGCCAGATCTGTATGTAGGTCTAGAGGACACTTAGTCTCCATGCTTAAACCTTTCCAGTTCTGTGCTGTCAACGTGCATGACATCTCTGGTACTGATCTGTAGGATTTCTTCCACTCAGAGACACAATTTTAAAGATCTAGAAATCCTTTTTTTTTTACAAAGCACCACTATATCCTAACTTGTTGTCAGCTCTCCTTTTGTGAATGCATAACTCACCCTGGCCGATGTCCCCTGGCCGATGTCCCCTGGCCGATGTCCGTCTGTGTTTCTAGTTCTTCTTTCCAGTGCAGCTGTGGAATCAACAAGCCTCATGTCTTGGAGTGTTGCACACAGTTCTCACTCTCTGGGTTTCCACCAGCTTCTCAACACAGATTATCTCAACAGCCTTAAAAGTGTGGGTCATATAATTTAGAAATGTGTTTGCTGTTTCTGTCTTCATGCCCTACTCTACTTCTAAATTGACATTCCCCTAAAAAAGGCCCCCTGCAGATTTCTTCATTTCTATCAATGACAGTCATTTCACTAACCAGAAACTGGACTTGGCCTTGTTCTCTTCCCATATCTAATCACCAACAGCTGTCAGTTTTTCTGTTTGTTTCCTGTCCTGTCCCCATCTCCAGATCTTACTTCCTAGCCGACCTAGTATAGCATTAGTATAGCACCGTCTCCTCATTCTTAGTTGATCTCCAGTCACTAAAATATCATAAATCTTTCCAAATACTGTTTCACAAGTCACTTCCCTGACAAATGCTTTCAATAAATCCCTGCCTGGAAAAGATAAAAATTCTTCTAGGTACAGCATTGAAATGTCTGTACAATCTGGTGACTTGTACTTATGTAGAATAGATCACAATAAACTAAAGTCCAAAAAGTATGGTCACGGCCGTCTTGTTCTTTCATTAACTAAATCCCTACTAAGAGTCTGTAAACTAGACTCAGAGTGAAGATCTCACTGGAAGATCTGCTACAACCGCCCTGTCTGATGATAGCAGTCTATTGTTAACGAGAATTATACTAAGTAAGAAGCTGACCTTTAGCCCTGTGTGAACAAGTGGACAAATTGGTAGGCATGGCTGATGCTTAGGTAGTAGACTTTGGAAACTCTTGTTCCAAAGCAATGTGTAGATGTAACTCCTGATTTTAAGGGATGTGTCAGAGGAAGAAAATGCTAAATGTAGGCCAGATCCATGCCAGATGTTCAGACTGTGTGAAAGTGTGTGCTAGACATGAGCCATGAGTGACCAGGTGATCCAGCTGGAGACTTAGGTAAGTGCAGGTCCCTGTCTGTGCTGTTAGGAGGCTCTAGTGGGAGAGAGATTGGAGTCAAGGAATTGGGTTTAATAGTATGTCATTGTTTATGAAGTTAAGCTCTGCCTGTCCATGTGCCCCACCATAGGTTCCTAGCTCTGCTTGGCAAAGAGAGGAGTGTGCTTCTCTGAGTTCTGTTATTCCGAGCACTTAACGACTGCTGTTTAGTATAGCTGCTCATATGAGACATTCTTAGATGGTAAATAGATCAGCTTTGGACATGAAAGAGAATCTGAGTTTTAATTTCTTCTACATCTTCGTGGTCATTAAAAGTTCTTCCTTGTACATTCGTCATGGTTTTTGGGGGTTTTGTTTTTTAGGTTTTTGTTTTGGTTTTGTCAGATATGTTCATTTAGTAATTTGACACCCAATGGTTTCATTATATCACAGTTCAAAAGGCTGAGTAGTTTGTCTCTTTGAGTCTTGTCAGCTTGACAAGAATCTAACATTCAGGCAAGCATACATGTGCATACACACCACAAGGGATTGAACCCAGGCCTGGGAAAGTGTTTTACCACTGTGCCATCTCTTTAGCCCCACTACAAGAAATATGAATTTAAATCAACTCATACAGTAGAGAAACTATAAAACAATGAGAACACAGTCTTCAGGGTTCATGTAGTCGCAAAGTCAAGACGTGAGTTCTTACTCCTCTTGGGTCTATCTAGCCTTGACTTCCTCCATTGACACATGTCAAGGCTGCTCTAAGTTTTAGGTATTTTATCCACACACAGCAGTGGCCACAGGAACCTTTGTTTTCTCACAAGAGAAGTTTGCAGAAAATGTCTCCTTAATCCCCAGCAGACCCTCCTTACTCATTGGCTACAATTGGACCATGTACATGTCAGTTTCTAAGCAAGAACATTGGGGTGGGGTAGGCACTGCCTTGAGTCACACAGAGGGGACAAAGGGCTGCTTGTTTAGCCTGGCACAGTGCCTTCCATGGTTGAAGATTCCTGTTTGCTATATGCATGTGTCATGTATGTGTTTACTTTTTACTTCAGTAAACCAAGTATCCTTTGCCTCTATCCATTGTCGTTTCTCTTGGTCAGTTTCCCAGAGTGGGAGGGTTCCCAAGAGCTATTACTCAGACCTGTAAGCTGGCAACTAATGGAAAGTAGGTATTTTCCAGAGAGGAATTTGCTGTTACACTGTTATACACTACTTGTAACAGTGCCCTCCTGTGTGGGTAACTTTGTAGACAATGCTTCTCAAGTGTGGGGCTTCGCTTGGGGTTGACAAAGGCTTTCTGCTTATCTGTCACAGTCTTCTATAAGGGAAGTAATGATGACGTTTCCTAAGTAATGATTATTCTGTTACTTTTAAACTAGAACTTTTCTGGAAAAAGAAGAAAAGTCCAACCACCTCAAGTAAGTCATTTTGTCTCCGTTTGGGCTTCTGCAATAGATTAATGAGTCTTATACCTTATTAATAAATGTGTCTATTCTTGTTGCTTTTAGGTCATACTTTGGCAGACTTTAGGTTGAATTAGGGAAGTCATTTTAAGACCATAGAATGATTTCAACAGGCTAATTAAATACAAAAATCTTCACCTTGCTTTTAACAGAATATTTCGGTTTGAAAACACTTAAATGCCCCAATAACTTTACTCTCCTTCTACTTTGCCTTTTATGAGCACTACTAATTAGCATTTTCTAAATCAAAACAAGGGCGACATCATGTCTGGGAGATGGCTTAGTGGGCAGAGGGCTTATATAGCATATTCAAGAAAATCTGAGTTCTGATCCCTGGCACCTGCTTCAGAAGCAGAGCATAGTGCTGTGGTTCTGTTACGTCATCACAGGAGACAGCCGCTCACTGCTCAGCCCATCCAGCCAGAGGGTTCCAGGTTCTCTGGAGACCCTGTCTCAAAAAGTGTGATGGGGAGCAGTTGCGGAAGATACCCACGGATAGTTTCTGACGGCCATAGGCTCATGTACCACAAACCTACACTCTGTGCCCCCTCCACATACATGAAGGCTAATTGAAGCTTAGCTCTCTGTCCGAAGTAGTTTATTAGTTGAATTAAAATAGTATAAATTTGCCAGCCTTAATGATGTGAATTAAAGTTGGGGGAAACTTAAAATTTGCTGTATTTTTAAATAGTATGTTGCTACTGTGTGTGATGATGTGTACCTGGAATCGCAGTACTCTGGAGGATGAGATGAAAGGGTCAGAACTTCAAGGCCAGCCTGCACTACACAGTGAAGCCCTGCCTCAGCATGCCCTGTCCCTCAAAGCAGCTTATTACATCCTTACTATAAAATTTTGAGTCAGTTTTTGAGAATAGCCTTTGTTTCATAGTTGGTCCCTCAGAAGGAAAGTTCTAGGTGTTTTAGGCATCTAAGCTAATCCTCCAGTGTATATTTCTTGCTGTAGATTATGAGTTTACAGGGTTTTTGTTTTGTTTTTTTAAAAAAGCTTTTATTCCTCCTTCAGAGCACAAAAACTCCAGGAAAGCTTTGTCATTAGGGAAGAGAAGCAGGTCAGCATGACACTGTGTTTGTATATGCATTTGTTGTGTATCGCTAGGATGAAATCCAGGGCCGCACACCGTCAAGCACATGCCCTGTGCTGAGCCATATGGTTACAGCCCAGAAAAAAAATGAGAAGCCTTGTTAGTTTATGTCTCTAAATTATGACACAGTCACCATACACAGCTGTCGGTCTCAAAATTATTATACAACAATATATTGCTGTATAGTTAGGGATTTATAGTTCACTTAGCATTTTATCTGCCTTAAGAAACTTAAGTCTTATTCAGCAATTTGTGTTTCTAGCAGAATTATTCACTGGCTGAACTGGATGAGAAAATTAGTGCCCTCAAGCGAGCCCTGCTCAGGAAGTCGAGAGAGGCAGACTCCATGGCCCCTCACCACCTCCCGTGAGGCCACTCTCCTCACACAGCTACCCTGTAAGATGCCTGTGTGTGTACCTTACATATGCTTAATTACGGTGTATTTATCAACATAAACATGTCTGTAAAGTCAAGGTTTATTTTAGCACAAGACTGACTGACGGCAAATAGTCAAATATTGCAGTGTTTGGAAATGACACAAACCTTGACCACAGCATTGTTGGAACTTATTCCCTCCTGTTTTAAAGGAGGCATTTTGGATATTAAAAAACTTAATTTGAAGGAACTTCTTTTGGTGGACTACCAGAGATTGTTATTTTGATAGTGGTACTTAAAAGGACTTTATATTTGTTACATTGGTTAACCATTTTTTTTTAGTTTATATTAATACTTTGTACATAGTGGGCACTTAGCAAAAATTTATTGACAAAAAATAAAACAAAAACTGACAAATGCATGTGTATAAACTTTTTTTCATGTCCTTATTGTAAATAAACACTTGACCAGTTTTATCACCTTCTTGGCTGAGAGGTCTTGAGCAGGTTAACCTCTCTGGCCCTGATTTGCTGATCTACAATGGGAATAATGGAAAAGCCCACTTCATCAATGCCATGAAGAACGGGGGGCACTGGATCGGCTGTCCTGAAGGAGTGACGTGGTAAATGTCAGTGTTGGTGTGTACTGCACATCTGCCTTTGCACAGTACTAAAGCCACCATAGAGAAGTTCTGTTGCCACAGCTGGAAACAACATGTACAAGGTGAAGCTGCAGTTGTGTCCTGTCTTACAGAGCAGATATTTGAGAATTGTTTTAATGCAAGAACTAGAATTTACCTTGGATCACCTGTAAAGGAGAAGAGGTTAAAAAAGGATCAGGAACCTGGGCATGACTGGAACTAACTAAACATCATCAGTTAGAACGATTCCAACTCACTAGACTGACTGGGTCTGTTCTCCCTCAGCATATCTTCTCCCTCTTTGCTCTGCCGTTACTACATGTATGAAGTCAGGGTAGTCTCTCTACTGACTGGTTTGCCCAGCCCTCTCTACTTGAAGAGAGAGAAAAGCCTCTACGTTTTTTGTCTCCCTACATGAGCTGATAATATAGTCCTGGCCTTAAAACTGCAACCTATTCTAGTAGCCTTTGATCAGCTTCAGTGCTCTCAGCTCTGAGAGCCTCACCTCCAAGAACCGTCTGGAACCTGCTGATGAAGCCAGGGCTAATGCCGTGTTGCTGTCAGCAGGGTAGGTATTTTGTCAGAATGGGGTCCTAGTAACTCTTCTAGAGCTGGTATGCTTTCAACCTTTAGTCTTTTCTTTAGTGCGTCACTCACTGGAGTGATACTGAGAGTTCAGGGAGGCATGTGGCTCCCTCAAGTCAAGCTACCGAATAGCCATTCTTCCCCACTGCTTCTTCCCAATGGCCTCACCCTTAAACAAAAAGCAGGTAAGTGGTTTGAAAAAGACTTGCTTCCAGGGACAGCAAAACACCTCTTCCCTAGTCAATCCCAGGTTATACTTTATCAACTGTTTCATAAGGGATTGGGCTTCTCTAACACCTGGCTGCAGCTCAACCTTTACAACTGCGAGTCTCGGACCCAGTTTTGAACGGGTTTATCAGAAGCACCTGTGTAGGAAGTATGGCTTCCTTGCTTCCTTGAAGTAGATCCTGCTCCAGACTTGAGCTCTGTGGGTATTTTGAAGTCATGACCTAGCTCTTGGTTTCCAGTCCTCTTTTTCCTATAATATCTGAAAAAGGGGGTTTTGTTTGTTTGTTTTTTAATATGAGTCAACTTCCCACCCCAGAATAGTGACATCTGGCTTGACAGGATCTCTGAGCACAAAAATTGTTATATCTGGCCAGGCCTTTGGGGAGTCAGTGCCACAAAGATGAGCCTTTAGCTTTTATAAAATTGCAATTTACTGAAAAAATTTTTTCAATGACATTAATTAAAAATGTTTTATGATCCTAGGGACAGCATCTCAGCACATCCAACAGTTTAATTAGGAGTTATAGCTATATGAGTTGATATTTGGGGGTCAGAGCGATGGCTCAGAGTTAAAGAGTTCTTGCTTTCACAGAGGACCAGGGTTTGGTTCCCAGCACCCACACACTAGTTCATAACAATATGTAATGGCTATTCCAGGTCATCTGATGTCCACTTCAGACCTCTGCAGGCACCAGGTATACATGTGGTACACTTATATACATGCAGGCAACACTCATACACAGAAAAATCTAAAATGTTAAAACTGATATTTTATAACTTTTAAGTTAGATGTCCCTAAAAGGACAAAATTTATTTCAATTATAGGTTCTTTGGACTCTTGTAAGATCTATTTTGATACTTTAATGATTTAATTTTCCTTATATCTTTTTGACACATCTTGATTTTTTTTTGTTAATCCCAGGAATTAATCATCAGTTATCCTGAAGTATACTAAGACTAAAGATGAAACAGTGAAATTCCTTCAAAAGACAATGCAGCAGCGCCATAAGTGAGGCTTTGTAATAGCCCCTTGTTTCACAAAGCCCAGAGGACACTGCTAAGGACCGTGAGTCCGGACAGACCATATCCCAGCTCCCAACCCTTCTGCTTTCAGTTTTGTTTTTTTTCAAGCATAATGATAAATTCTAAAAGAAAACAGAATTTTTCATGACTGTGAAAGGCATCAAAAGGTAAATTCAAAGGCCCTAAAGATGGTGTCTCTCCAGACTCAGTTTGTGGAGTGAGCTTGTTCCACCTTTGCTTGTGCCAGGTGATTGGCAGGTAGTCATACTCAACCATCATGACTCATGTCAAACATGGACACTTTCATAACCAAGAAAATAAGAAAAATTGTGCTTACTGTGTCTGAACAATTTTGTTTCAAATAAATGTTTTAAAACTCTTAATAGTTCTATAAGTTATTCAGAAAATGGCTTTAAATCTACTTTTTAAAATCTTAAGATTCATTGGAACTAGATGGTAAATTATGTTTATTTTTCCTGTTATGTTGACAGCTAAATATATTTTTAAAATCTCAAGATTCTGTAAAATTCATGTACCTAACATTAAATTTTTAAATAGTTTCAAAGTTAAAATTATATCTATATATAAGCAAATAACTTTCAAAGATTTTTTAAAAATGATCTCAAGAAACTTAAATATGTATGGAATTGCTTTCCTGAGCATCCTTCCTTCAGGAAGCTGAAGTTGGGAGGAATGAGTTTATTAAAAAAAAAGTGAGAAAATTCTCAGGTTGCAAAATGTGTACATGAACAGGTTTCTACATTCTTTTATTAGAGTGTCTGGCAACCTACTTTTCTGTGTGTAAAGGGGAGATTTATTCAGCCCTAAAAGGAAAAGAGTAGTCAGATGAAGAAGAAACTCAATTGTTTATTTTTAAGTAAAAGAAGTGTCTCTAAGGACCTCATACTTTACAGTTCCAACCATGTGACATCCTAAACACTGGCAAAATTACAAAGGAGGCAAAAGGTCAAATGTGAGCATGTTGTAGGGGAGCAGGTAGAGTAGGGAAGGTGGAAGGCTCTGGGAAGGAGAATCTAAAGTGACAGACATACGTCAGTACACTTTGTTTTTGTTAGGTTTTCTTGGGGGGGGTGGTAGTTGGGGTTCTTGTTTGTTTTGTTTGTTGTTTGTTTGATTGGTTTGGTTTTAGTTTTGGTTTTCCAAGACAGTGTTTCTCTATGCAACCTTGGCTGTCCTTCTGTAAACCAGACTGGCCTTGATCCCAGAGATCTGCCTGCCTCTGCTTTCTGAGTGCTAGGATTAAAGCCGGCACATCAGTGTACTTTTATCTGAACCCAAAAAGTGTACAACACTGAGAGTGAACCCCATTGTGAGCTAGCTATACCTTCCTGGTGATGGTGACCCATCTAAGATCAGATGTACCCTGTGGACCACCTGAGGAGCAGGTTAACGGTAGGGGAGGCCATGCAGATGTAGGCTCAGATCCTAAATATTTCTGTAAATCTAAAACAGCCTTACAAAAGTAAGGTCTCAAATATGAATAATGACACTTTAAAGAATAACCTATACTTATAGAACAAACTACTTCAAATGTTGTTAAGCTAACAGCTTTTGGTACGCAGGTCTGGGTATAAATGGTCTTTCCAGGGTGCTCTGTGTGCCAGGACCAGTCACTAGGAAATAGGTTTTTCCTAAGCTATCTGGAATCGGGAAACTTGAATATTGATATAATTTTGCTTTGTCAAACAATGGAAAGTGAAGTTAATTTTGCCATTCTAGAACTTGGAAATTAGGAGTTCATTAAAATGTGAAACACTTCAAATATACAGGAAAAGTACAGAAGAGATTATTTTAAACAACTACATCTTACCACCCAGATTTCACCACCCAGATATTATTATCTGCTACATTTACACCAGGCCAGCCAAGGCAACGTGAGATCTCATCTTAAATAAACTAGAACGACAACAGAACTAGGTCAAATATAAAAATGGGGCCTCTTCTCTCCATTTCCTCTCCCATCTCACTCTCGGGATTGGATCCAGGGTTCATACATGTCGTGTAAGTACTTTACATGCCTCCCTCTGCTTTGTGTGTGCGTGCACTCTAAAGTGGGTACCTTTTCAAGTACCTAACTTCCAGTCTTAGAAAACAAGCCACCCCATGGATCTGTTAGAATGTAAGTTTAAAACAGATGGACTAACCAATTATTTGTTACAGGTTAAAGGGGACCTACAAATGGTAGACGCAGAGTACAGTTAGGTCCAGTACACATGTTCATGTTTAACCAGCAGCTCTGTTCCCTACACCACTCGCCTTGATGCCAGCAGCTTAGGAATTGTACTTTCAAAGTCGCTGGGCAGCTAAACTAAAACTCCAGGCTTCACACGGCAGCCAGCTAAATCACAGCTACTCTTCACTGATTTTTCCCTTCTCAGAACCCTGATCTTACCTTCAGTAGAAAGATGAGCAGTAGCTGGAACTATCGTGGCAACTAATAAGTGCAGGAAAGAAGCAAAGTGATGCTTGAAAGGTCCTAGCTTCTGACCATTGTTTACTTTTACAAAGAAAAATCTGAAAAGGAAGAATTAAAAGCTCGGAAAGCACACGGTGCACAGTTATACACGTAGACAAAACAGTCAACACACATGCACTGATTTTTAAGAAGAAGCTACGCTGATGGCCTCTCTCAAAATATCTTACTTACTGTATGGTGGTCCCTTTCTTTGTGTTGATGTGAGAGGACAGTGCATGCATGGTGGATGAGGTGAAAGACATGAATGTTATCAGAGTAAGCTCTTTGGTAATCACCAGTGGCACAGCAGCCCTACTACGGTATGTCTGAAACAGGAGGCCTCCCCAGAGATGTCTAGTGAGAGGTGTGCACAGCACGGAGAAATGTTGAGCAAAGACACACCACATTCAGGTCGAGTCAAATTCAAGATTTCATCATGCTGCTGCAAACTTACAAGCTGTCATG